AAATGAGGTGATGTGTTAAGTTTCATTGATGTAAGACAATAACTTTAGGAAATAGCGTTATATTGAGGCCAGCATCTGTTGGTTCTGTTGAATCCATTAGCGTTCATACAGCATCTGGAAACATACAGATGAACTCTGTACTAAGGCTATGAACTCACTTGTATCTGTTAAAAGCACAAGTGGTCACTCCGAGGGTGTTACAGTTGCTTACACATCTTCGGTAGCATGGCTTAGTCTCCCATCTTAATCAAACGAATTGCGTGAAGTAGTAAAGGGAAGAACTTACACTTGCCAGACGAGAGGAATGCAGTTGGGAGCAGCAAGTTCACCAGTGCAGTACTTCTCGCAGGTGATTTGAGCCAAAGCGACGGCGCAGAGAGCAGAGAGGAGAAGGAAGAGCTTCATCTTTCGATTTGTTACATCTTAATCACGTTCTGTATATATAGTATCCTGAGCCATTCATTAAAACTTTTAAAGTTTCAGGCTTCATTGAAAGTCATTGTCATCCGTTGTGTCGATCATAGACACTAAGTGGGTGACAAATTCGATTGGAAAGTTTCCCGTCGTGATCTTTTGATATCAATACAAGTGCACAGCTCTTCCGTCTTTCTTGAATAGGACAACAGGTGATAGTTATTACGATTCATCTATATAAATCAGATATTCTATTCGAGCTATCTCTATCATAAACGGTTCGAGAGCATGATCTTCTCTTTGTTCGTCAACGCCGATGATCAGAGAACACTAAACTTTTCTGAATGTCTGTGAGTAAGGAGTTCGTACTCTATCCGTTGTATTGGTTGTGGTAACCTATTTTGGAGATAACTTAAATTCCTTTGTTTATACTTGAGAGCATTTATATACTAAACTGATCTTGTCGAATTTGAAGGAACCAACAAATTTGGCTTCAAACTCTTCAGGTCTCTGCTAACAATCAGAGCATAGGAACGAGATAGTCAAAAAGCCGTGTTGATGCTTGAGTTCATCGAAACTGTCCTCACAGTTCATTGAGAATTTCTACCGTTTTGAACTGTCTGAGGTTGAATGCAATTGTACTGAATGGTCTGGGCGGAACGCAATTGTGCTGAACGGCCTGGGGTTGAATGCATTGCTCTGAACGGTCTGGGGTTGAATGCAACCGTTCTGAGCGGTCTGAGATCGAATGCAACCGTTCTGAACGTTTTGGTTCAGAATGCAACCTTTTGGTGCTGTTTGTATAAGGCATGGATAAGAGCTCACCGGCTCACCCCGCCAACTGACGTGATTCGGTTGCCTCACGGCTTATATACCTTCACGGAAACACGCCACGTGAAAATAATTTTTACGTGAAAAAATAATGATCCGGTCGTTCTCTTTTGGAAAAATCCTCTAAATCACTTCTGAATTGATAAAATCGGGTGTTTTTTGGGTTATTTCGGATCAGAATTCAATTTTACAATTGGATATGATGTTCATTTACTTTCTGGACGATGAGTTGTAATTGAAAAATTGTTTTTTTATGATTCTCCTTTTCAAATTTCTTCGAGAAACCCATCTCTCTTAGAGTTTTCACGATGAAGTTGAGCTACTTGTCAAAGTTCAATCTCTGTGTTACCTAAAGTATGAGGAAAGGCAGCACGTATTACTAGATTTGATGGTTTTTCAGAACTATTTTACGAGAAATCTTGTAGTCTGCGTTATAGTTTCGACTGAGCTCACCACACTCTGTTTTCATCGATTTTTCTGTTTTTCGCCTATCTTGCTCAACTTACAGGTTATCGATTGATTCCGTAAGTTCCAATTTCATCGATGAACTGTACT